TTTCTCCTGGTTCTCTTACTAATTCTCCTAAGTGCCTAGATCAGTTTAATAGAACTTTCTGCAGTGATAGAAATGGTCTGTATCTCCGCTGTCCAACTTGTAGCCACTAGCAGCTGCTGAGCACTTGAAATGTGGTTAGAGCAAGTAAAAATAATATTTTCATTTTATTTAAGTTTTATTAATTTAAACTTAAATAGTCACAAGCAGCTAGAGCTACCACAGACCTAGACTGGACAAATCTAGACCAAGTTCCTCTGGAGCTACTCACCAGCGTCCTGATGTTTCTGTCTCACTTGGACCTCTTGTCTGGTGACTGCCATATACAGATTTTGTAGATTCGTGACAAAGGGTCTCCCATCACCAACACTGCATGCCTCTGGTAGTTTCTATAGGGGAGAGGAGATGCGGTCATTGATTACATTGTATCTAGAGAAAAGGGACTTGATATTCCACTGGCATCAACCCCAAAAGAATTCACATAAAGAAGTCAGATTCATATCTGAGGGCACCCATATCCAAGCCTGATGGGACCAGTACATAGGACTCTTGGAGAATCTTCTCCTCTGAAAGGCAATTTCCAAATATGTATCTTTATTTCCCCCAATATTTAGATCTATTACGTTTTCCCATTAATACCCCATAGGTCTCTAGGCTCTTTCTTCTAAAGGGGTGATCTTTAGAGGACTGTTTTAGGAAATCTCTGTCCCTAAATTATCCCTGAGCTGTACAGATTATATTTTAATTAAATTCACTCCTAACCCTCCATACTAGAGAGAAAAATTACAAGAGATGGGATCCAGGATAGGGAAGTGACAGCAATAGGGGAATGACAGACTGCGGGACAAGAAAAAATTATGAAGTCATGATGTTCCGTCAGAGGCGATGGGAGAAACAGTTTACAAAGCTTTGGAGGCTAAACTGACATTTTATATTCCCTACTGTAATCCCACCGTGCTTTGTCATAATTCATGAACTCACATGACAGATATTGCCCCCAAGGGGGTGAAAATTGGTTCTTGAGGGGTGAAAACAATCTTACTCTTTAAAGTATAAAGCACAGATACATATAAACAGAATTTTGGTATCCTTTTGATATTAAGATTTCCTGAGGGGAGTGATTAGGGAAAACTGTCTTAAAAGATTCCTTAGGGAGGTGATAATGAAAAAAAAGTTGAAAAACATTGTTAAAATCACATTATATTTATGTTTCCTTCAATAAAGAATGAACTATGTGGATTTATATTCATAGCAAAATGCTTTGCCTAGTTTGACTTTCATATATTGGCTGACCTGAAGTGAAATAATGCTGAAGACTGAAGAAAGAGCAATAAAAACGAGATGAAAGAGTATGGTATCCGGTGTTCCCAAACCTGGCTGCACTTAAGCAACTTGGAAATGGCCCAGAACTACTTCATCTATCCCTATGCATGCAAATTGTTATGGTTCCCAGCCAAGTTAGCAGGTCTCCAAGGAAGCCATGCCAGCAGCTCATATGGGAACCAACCCAAAAATCCTGGATTGGCCCATAGCTCTTGTCAAGGGCATTTTCTCTGGGCTATAAGGACATTCATTTCTGAGAATGCACTGTGGGAGAAAGATGGAAGAGATCGCAGGAGAAGTAGTGAAGTAACTGTGAACCATAGTCAAGACTATACAGTTATCTTATGGTGGCAGCTGAAAAACTTTCCTGGTGATCCCAGGAAACGTAACATACATTTCTACTCTAACCCGATTCCCACCAGAAAGATTATACCAGTCTTGGACTTTCACTGAAAGCCACAGACAATGAATCAGAAGCCATGAGTGTAAACTACTCCAGCCAGTCATCACACTAGGAGTAAAACAGCTGTCTTCTGCATCATTATCAGAGGAAAGAACTGAAACAGGGAAGGCCAACTATCGAGCCACACACCTCCACCTCACCTTCCTCTCCTTCCAGGTTCAGCTCTCCAATCCCCAAGCCTCCTCCTCCCCCAGAAGGTCCTCTACTCCACAGCCAGAGAGCCCTCCCTTCTACCTCAGGTCTCTAGGATCTCCCTTCATTTTGCTCAAGATATGCGGCCTCTGCGTCATCCACACACAGCTTGGCTGGCACTGTACTGTTTGTACAAATGGGCTAGGTAGAATCCAGACAGCCACGGTCATCTCCTCCTGCCCTTTCTATGGAACTAAACAGACTCATCCATTTTCCCAGGTGATCTGTACCCAGTTCATGTATTTAGTCTCAAAATGAAGTGCCAGAACTGAGGAGGCCACTAATGCCAGCGCCGTCCTGGACCTGAGTCCAAATCTAGACCTATATGTTAGCGCAGACACCTTCCCTTCTCAGAGAGATCTGGTGCTACAGACCAGCCAAAGGACTAGGAAATGAATATTGGTCCATTTGCTGATATTTACTATGTGCTAGACCATTTTGTCTTATTCACTGCTATTTCCTTGGCCCATAGTAGGGGAGCAATAACTATTTATGCATAAATGAACATGGTCGGCAATAGTATGTCCCATTTCCCCGAGGAAGCCACAGCTATTAAGTGATGGGACAGGGTTAGAATCCAAACAGTCTGACTTCAGGGCCCATAAATATAATGACTACTCTACTTACTTCTCTGAATAGCAGAATTTGCATTAAAATGGCATGGCTCAGTGGTTGAGTGTTGACCTGTGAACCAGGAGGTCATGGTTTGATTCCTGGTCAGGGTACGTGCCCGGTTGCGGGCTAGATCCCCAGCAGGGGGCATGCAGGAGGCAGCCGATCAATGATTCTCTATCATTGATGTTTCTATCTCTCTTCCCCTCTTAAATCAATAATAAAATAAAATAAAACATTGTTTTAAAAAGGGAAATATAGCCTTTCCCAGGATCACAACCCTCAGTCCCTCACATCACAGATCATCTGCTTATATATTCCATCCAGCCCAGGAACAAGCTCCCTCCGGTGACGGTGACGGGAAAAAGTGAACACATAAAAAAAGACAGCTGGCCCTCCCTGGAAGCCTCAGGAGCTGAAAAGCCATAACCTTAATCTTTCTCTAGCCATTCCTGTCATCACTGATTCCCTTGGGCAGCGTCTGCAGAATGTGCTAGGGGAGAAAGTTGCAGAGAGGCCTGAGTCTGGGAAGGAGAAACTTTAGCTCCTTGCCCAGGACAATGGCAGGGGCAAGCCGGGGCGGGTGGCGGAGATCAAAGGGAGAAATGCTGGAGTCAGGACTAAGAAAAGCAAAATAGTAGTGCCCCCCTGCTCTAAGTATGACTGAGCCAGGAGGCTAGGTGTTCCCAGCCCACAAAGCGGGTCACTGCCCAGGATGGGGAGGGGGAAGAATATTGTTGTAAACATGTTCTACTGGATAATTGTTGTTCATCTGATTACCCAGAATTAATGCTACCTCCAGCAAAAGGTGGAGATTCCCACCATGGTGCCAAGCCTCTGCAAGAACTGAAGGGCGGGGGAAATGGGACCCATCAATTCTTCCCCTCCCTCCGGAACAGGAGTGAGGCAAAATCCCCTTGCTTCCAAGGGAGAATATGT